ATTGAGTGCATGAAATATTGAATTTAAACAGCTGGATACAATAAGAAAAATTCTAAATCAAAAAGCAAAATTATTAAATAAGAAACACTTTTTAATAAATATAATAATTAAAAAATTATGATTTAATATAACAAATTCATGACAGAAAATAAAATTGAATATAAACATTTCATGTTTTTTTAATTAAGCTAATTATGCCATTTAATATTTTTCTATGTATGTAAATTAGTTATGTTTTCAACAGTTTATTTGCAAGCATTTAAAAAATGAACTGAAATCGTTACGTTTTGTCAATATGTAAGACTTATTAGAGATTTTTGATATTAACATTTTCAAACTTTTGACAGCACACTTATGTCATAGCACCTCATTGTTCACTCAAGATCTCTCTTTTAAACAATGCAAGTTACAATATAAGATTTCTCTTTGATACAATTCAAATAACAATGTAAGGTCCTCAAGGAATGTAAAGATCTTAGATCGAATTTGATTATTTCTAGGAAAATGTAATTCGAATAAAACAAAGGAGACTTCAGTTTTATAAAAGTGCTATATTTGAAAAGAATTTTTACCTTTCAGTAATATTTTCGAGATATTTTATTTCAATTTCTCTTTATTTAGTCTATCTCAACAGATTTACTCCTTTTTCAGTAAATAGTCATGGTTTATTTTAAATTTCACAGAATATGAAAAGTCATTCTTAACAAATTTTATTTTTATTAAAATGTGAGAAGCTGCAACAATTAACTGTATATGAACACGCCTATCTCTATTTTTGACATGAAGGTTAAAAAATGAATACAACTTATTAATCAGTAATTAGTGTTGTTTTATTGGATACGATACTATTTTTAAATTATAAAATTAGCTACAAGGATAATTTTTTTTGATTAAAATACCGTACTGTATGGTAATGATATTTCTAGTAAAAAAAACATAAATCTGGATAACAATGCTTTATTATACAGACAAGCTGCTTAAAAGCTATTAAAACCATTCATTTGGTAATTTACCCATAACATTTTAATGATAATGGTTTACCGGAAATTCTGCTTTTTAAGATCATAGTTCATATTCCCTCACGTTTAATAAAAAGTATAAAACCGAAAAGCAAATTTAACCGAATAAAAGGCTTAATGCTATGTTCCAAGATCATGATAAAATTAATAAATTTTGCCATTTTTACCAAATTTTATCACCTATTATTAAACCATTTTTTGTTGTTAATTTTACGAAAATCACTACTAAAGAACTTCGGTAAAATATAGTGAGCTTTCTAGCCTTAAAGCCAGAAATACGGTATTCTGGTGCTTTTGCCCATACTTTCGTTTCTTTTTTTTGCATTAGTTTAATATTGTTTAACTATAAACTATTCAGTACTTTTTTATATTAACAGTTGATTAAAAATATAATTTGTTTTAATAAAATAAATAAACTGAATCTAAATTTATGAAGTCGAGTATATTTTTGATCAATTAAAACTAGAATTTCTTTTAGAAGATGGTATAAAGAGAATGCGAAATTAAATATATAGGCTATATTAAATATGATAATTATATTCGATGACAATTAAAGATGCCTAGATAAAAATAAAAGCAATAATGGAAATAACAACGTAATCTTTTATCTAAAGTAAGAGTGCCAGATGCAACAAAATAATTAATTTTCTTATGTTTTACGATGAATTATTAATTAAAAAACAATGAAATATAAATATTAGTAATTCGATATTATTTTTCAACTTCATTAATTCTTAATGATATTTAGTACAAAACTAACCTATTCTATAAACTCTGGCACAGATGGCATAAAAATGTTCTCGTTTTTAATGAATAGAATATTTGCACAGACCTGGTTTAGAGCTTATCTAAACTAATGAGATAAGTCCCACCATCCCACAATTTCATGACTAATTTGCTTTTTAAATAAGATGCTGAACCACCTTATTAAGAAAGCTTTTAAGAAATGTAAAATATAAGGAAACAAAGTGAAATTTAAAAGTAATTGTAAATATTAAAAATTATTTAATTTTTTAAATTTAGCAAATTTACATTCATTGAAACATACGCAAACATAACATAGATATTATTTAAAATCAGGAAACTTTTATGTAATTTTTATTATTAAAACAAAAACTGTTATTGGAATTATTTATTTTCCAAAAATTCTGTTTTGAATTAGAGTAAATATTAGTCGCAGCCATAAATATTAAACTTTTCTTTTTTAAATGTTTTTTTTTGCGTCTGTAGTCATCATATCAGATATCAGCATGGTATCAATGATATCTGATATGATGAGGAATTTACAGAGAAAACTACTCTGTGGAGAAAAGTATGGGCGAAACTCCCAGGATATGATAAAATTTATCGTGAAAAGAGCTTTATTGCAACTGCAAAAATTTCGGCAACTTTTTATGACGCTCTTTGGTAATCATTATGGTAATATTATCAATAAAATCTGGTTTTATAATACTTTATAAAGTGTGGTAAAATCTGATAATTTTATCCTGATACCTGAGAGTAGAGGTTTCCAAATATTGTTCTGGGGAACTCTAGGGTTCCATGATAGAGTTGAAAGGATTTGGAGAGTTAAGACTTGTTTTAACCAGCAATAGTTTTTGAAACGTTCAATCATATTTTGATCCGATCAGTAATGCATTAATAAATTTAATATTATCGTTGCTTCATAAAATTATTAAAAGTAAAATGCTAATAACAGAAAAATAGCTATTTTTTAAAACAAAGCATTTTCTGACAACAATGTATTAAATAAAGTATAAAAATCTCATGCATTTATAAAAAAATTGTAACAGTAATTTCTTTTTGCTATTTTCAAATCAAAGTGAACAACTAAAGTCGTTACTAAAGAAATTACCTTCCTTATTTACTATTTTAAACGTTTATCAAGATTCTTTATAATTCGCAAAGAAAACCTTGTTTCGGCTTATTTAATTCGCTTTCAGTTTATAAAACAAAATCAGAACTGGATAAAATATAGTTCCAGAACTTCAAATTAAACTGTCTCACATGAAACGTGTAGATTCTTAAGTTGTACATGTAGATTAATAATGATAAATCTCTTAAAGACATAAGTAGTTTCAAAATAAAAAAGTATTTGTTTGGTAAATACGTTCACAATGGCCGCTATATTACTTTTTTTGAACTCAGGGACTTACCAAAAGAAGGTTTATCATTTAGGATTCCATAACCGAGGAGCCGCATAGCACAAAAATCATTTATTTTGTTAAATTTACTTTTCAGTTTTGTATTTTTTACTAAATGTCTGGAAATCGGAACTATAATTTAGAAAACTGAAACTTCCGGTAAACTGTTACCACATGAATGGAAAAATTATCAAATGCATGGCTTAAATACCAAATGTTATGATTTTATTAACTAGAATTATGTTTCTTATTATACCAGAATTATCATTACCTTTCAGTACAATTAGTTATTGCAGACTTGTTTGCTCCAAGCATAATTAAGTGTAAATAACTTTTGAAAAATAATAAAAAGGATTTTGTTTTATTATTCATAAGCTCAGTAACACTTAGGCAAGTAAAATGACTGTTCACATAACGATATTAACAATACTCACACTCACTGACACTGAGAATACACACTAATTCAGAATAAATAATGTCAAGATGATACCATTGAAATGTTTAATTCACACGAATGAATGTGCAAGATAAATACAATTTATTCTCTACATTAGTCAATATTGTGCATATTGCATGCATAAATCAATAGACAAAGAAATTATTACTCAAAACATGGTTTAACAAATCATCGTATAGAAGTATGTTGATTAACGTATAGAATTAACGGTAAGATATTTAAGTAATAATTACCAAAGCTTTTATAGAATTCAAATGCATTATAAATAGCACCAGAGAGTAAACCAGAAAATCAAAAAAGGAAGTAGTTTTTTGTTTAATTTCAGGTGCTCAGTTTATGGTTCTGGATCCAAGGACACGGTCTTTTTTTGTTGTCTAAAATAGAAAATTAATTGGAAAGACCTACATAACTAGTGTAAGAAAAGTGATGGTTGCTTCTCATAGAGATATACACCGTAGAGCCATTACATTATGACCACCTTCCATCTATAACAATGTGGTCGCCCAGATTTTCATGGTTTCTCGCTCAGGAACAATGTTTTCATGGGGCACATTAGGACCCATAATCCTCATAGAACAATCCCTGACGTCTGTAAGCTACTTGAACATAGTTGCAGACCAAGTTCCCCCATTCATGGCAACAGTTTTTTCTTGCGGGGGATGGTGTTTACCAACAGGATAATGCATCATGTTATAAGGGCCGAATTGTCGAGGAACATTCCAGTGACTTTGAAGCGATGTCCTAGCCCCCAAATCCACCTGACCTTAATCCAATAGAGCATTTGTGGTCATACTTGGAAAACGAAATTAGTGCTGCCACGCTACCCTCTCGCAATGTGAGGGAATTGCAGGACCAGTTGGTGAGCGCTTGGAACCAGATACCCCAGACTACCTATCAGCACCTTGAGGAATCAATGCCACGGTCGGTGCTAGCAGTTTTGAGGGCTAAAGGTGGTCCTACATGTTATTAGCAGGGTGGTCATAATGTAATGGCTCTTCGGTGTATAACTGACTAATAACTGTTTATAACTGATATTAACATTGAAATTAAAATGTGGATGTACAAATATAAGGTGTCAAAAGATATCAATTGTATCAAGATATAGCAATTTTTAAAAATTTTTTTTTGCGATGAAAGCATGGTCGAAACGAATGCAATTCAAAAACCTATTGAAAAATTAAAGATCTAAGGATTATATATTAGTAAAAATGCAAGCATGTATATTGTATGTAGTAACAACATAAGCAATGTATACAGTAAAAATGAAAATAATGTGTACAGTATAAATGCAATTAATTTAGTGCGATTAAAGTCATTCTCCAAGTCAATTTATTTGAAAAACTAAGTCAATGCAAATGTCTAAAGATTTCTAACTTAAAAGCATTTAACATTTAGTTTGTAAACATAGTATATTATTTTCTGTATTATTTTTATTAACTTAGAAAACAAATTTATCTTCTCTTCAATTTAACAAACAATCAAGATAATGTCAATATTCTAGAAAAAAAAATTCTTTTCCTGACACTCTTTTTAAAAACTTTTACCGGCCTATAACAAACCCTAATGTTTTAAGATTAAAATTAACATTTATTTTTATGCTATATTTAAAATGGGAACAAGAATTAAAATTAATGACTCCATTATAGTTGTGTAGAATGCGTAATTTTGTATCTTGTGTTTGTTTATTGTGAATTTAAATGAAAATAACGGAACAAAAACAATAAAAATATTATCTTTTGGTTTGAAACATTTAAAAAATTTGAATTTTTTTAAAATCTTGATGAAAAAGGTTTATTTTAGTACATAAATTCTGAAAGTTCAATTTTTCGTTGTATGATTTTCATGGTAATAGCGTTTCAACTGAAATAATGCATTTAATTTTATATTCGTTGGCATGAATGAGTAAAAAAGAGGTAAATAATTACGCATTTAAAGTTTTTGAGTCAAGCAAGAAAGTCTTATGAATTATACAGTCATATCACGTGTTACAAAACGCAACATTTGAACAATACACCAAATACATCAATGAAACAATTGAAATGTAAACAAATACACAATACATAGATGAAGATATGTAATTTTACATGTGGCAATGTCCGTTTCCATTTACCGAATAATTAAGAGACAAAGAAGATGATTTGATGGTTCGGAATCGTATCCAAGTACTTCCTTGAAAGCTGTCATTTAAACTAGCTCGCTGAATTGGATATTTACAAAACAACACCAAAAATGTTCTTTTGAATTTCCGACCAAATATACAATAAATAACGAAATTCACAGATGAATTTACCGTAACCAACAGGTTAGAGACTCTAACCAGTGGAGGTAAAAATATATCGAAGTATTCGATAATGTTAATTACAAGTGCAAGTATGTTACAAGTTAAAAACACAACTACAACACAAAGAAGCATCATGGCAAGACTAAACTCGCCTTCTTGTTTGCGACTGAGAGTTTGCCTCTCCCTATTAGCTCGTCTTACTGTGTGCCAAATATATATGTTAAAAACAGTTAAAATCAAGAATGGTATGAAGTACATAACCAAGAGATACAACCATATGTGATAGACTTCGTAGTACAACTTGTTCACTCTCAACTGAGAAGCTACTATCTTGTAGACAGTGTGATTCAATTCAGGTGCAAAGAACTCAGAATGTTCAACTTCCCAGAAGCGTGGTATGTTGTACACGATGGCCATGATAGTGATAAAGAGGTTGAAGAATCTAGCTCTTCTGTAGGTACACAAGGACTTTGCCTTCAAGGGGTGACATACAGCAATGTACCGCTCGACTGTCACAGCGACTGTTGTCCAGACGGATCCTGTTTGGGCAATCAAGCCAACAGGATAAGCGATTGGAATTATGAAAGGTGACACATACAAGGCGTAAGAGCTTAGTAGCTGAAGTCTGCACCCAAGTTTGTTCAAACCCAGCATAAGTACAGCACAGAGCAGAACTATGGTGTCAAAGATGGCTAAACCTTGTAAGCCACAATTGATTGACGACCGCATTTGTGGTCGAGATAAGATTACCAATGACACTATATTGGCTATTACTCCAAGCATTCCTATGGTAGTTACCATAATACCTTCGGTTATAAATTCGAAAGTTGATACTTCCGGTATAAGTTCGAACGGATGAAATGGTTCTGTGAAATTGAAGATGGTGTGTAAGATGGCGACATTTGAGCCCCAGTTTGAAGAGTTCATAATTAATCTTTAAATATCTATCACATTTTATTTCATAAAATCTTTTCCTGTTACCAAACACAAAAATGCATTCTAAATTCTGAATACACATTAAATATAGTTTACAAATAGTTGTTTAAACAGCGGGAAATGAGTATTTACAGACATGCCTTATACATAACAAGATGTACAATATGTGAATTTTTATGCAGAATCATTATTTTCGTAAGGATCAGGAACCAGAATAAATAGAATTTGATTTGTTCAGTGTGAATCACATGAATGAGTCTTGTCTTTAATTTAATCGATCCTTTTCGTTCCTCGAATATCTTTTTGCCGTAATACTTTCACTGTAGTTCTTCTTAAATTTTCGTCTTGTCAATACCCTAAAATAGCAAAAAAAAGTAAGTCATATTAGTTAAACCTTTTAGCATTACATTTTAAAGCACGTTTAAATATAAAGGGTTTTTAATTTTATATTTTATAGCCGTCGTTAAGCAGCCGCCCAATTTTATAGGTTTACGACTACTAATGTTCAACTCCGTAGCTTTGCAATTTTGAGACCAATCCAGAAGACAAGGGAACTCCTGGATCAAGTATTGGGAAAAATTTGCCTTCGTGCAGGACTTTTTGATGGAGCTAACCCACATTTGCGTTACACGAGAAAGGAAGACCACGAGAACCTCCCACAGTTAGCATGATGGCAAGAGGACTCTAACCCATGATCCGTCTACCAATGAAAATATTTCACGTCAGCACTGTGGTCGGTGCAAGCTGGATACGGATTCGTATCGACCAGCCATAGAAGTGATTCGAACTCGGGTGACCTCATTGGAAGGCGAACGCTCTATCCATGAGCTATCACGGCTCAAATATAAATATATAGGGTTTATGCAAATAAATGACAGGAATTCACATTTTTTTCAAAATTATTTCAAATACTACAATAAACGAAATTAATTTCTCACGGGAAGTTCTTTTTTCTAGCTTTGAATTTTTGCTGAATGACTCTTAAGTAAGACAAATATCTTATCTGTAATCAAGTTCACTCCACACTTTTTGTCTTTTCAAAATGTCAGTATTACTTAATGCTGCACGAGCGTGTTATTTAACCTTTGGGAGTGTCTTAGGAATCGGTGTATTTTATGATGAGTGTCTTTTGCTTAATAATTTAAGAGGAATTCACATAGTGTGAGGGCTGGATATTTTAGCGATCATGTGATTAAGAATAAGTCACAGTAACCGGCATGTCAAAGACTTTGTTTCTGAAACACTGATGCCAAGCTACCGAACAAAACATTTGCTGTACAGGATCAGGAACTACACAGTTTGTTGAACGCTTATTGCAACTTATTGTAGAGTTGTCGTGTTACAAAGGGGTCAGACATCGTGCATTTGCATCTGAAAAAAAAAGGATATGTAGTAAAAGCTAGATATAAGACATATGTAGTAAAAGCTAGATATAAGAAGTACGGCATGTTACGAGAACTGCGATGTTATTTCAAGTTTCTAAGTCACTGTCAAAATGCTTATATTAAAGATACAAACTTTTATGTTTATAAGGTGTTAAAAATTACTAGATCTCCGCTATTTTCTTTTCATAAAAAAACATTTTTATCCGTTAAATTTAAGAATATTTAACAAAAATGAATTAATAGGACGATATTATTAGTTATTTCTGAAATTAATACAGAAAAGGGAAAAACAGAAATGATTTTACTTTATTTTATGCCTACAATATTGTGAAAAATACAATATAAGCATTTATAGAACAAACGGATGGGCGATCATTAGCCAAGTTATCTTCTCTTTCCAAACGAAAACTTTTGTAATCTTTGGAAACCTATTGTAAGGAATGCGCATTTGGATGGAATACGCTATTCAAAAGAATACGCCTTTGACCACATATCTCTCATACCATTTCCATTCTTAACTACTTGCTAGCTTACAACTGAAATCAACATTCAGTGTAATCAATAGCGGCAAAAACTATTGTACTTTATTTTGTTTTTTATTGCTTTTATTCTATCCTTTTTTAGAATAAATAACTCGTTTATCATAAAAAGTTAGTTAGAACGATAAATGTTTTTGCTATTGTAATTTACGGACTTATAACGAATTTTTACTGTGTTTTTTTAATTGTGTGCATCACTCCTTATATTATGTGCAATATCTTCGAAAATATAAAGAAAATAAAAAATGATCTGCAAATTTTATTGACCCGGTATTATAACTTCGGTGCATTTTTAACTCATGACGGCCAACATGAAATATAAATAAATATTATATTTTTAATAAATTTTGTAAGTACATATATAAAAACAACTCAGAAGCTCTGAAAATACTTTAATGACAGAAAGGTAGAGAAATTCAAATGCTTATGCTGCAAGTTTTGTGTCAACGAGAACTGAAAATTTATTTACATTATGTAACTTACTTAAAGTGCTATGTAAATATTTATTTTTGTTTTTACAAACTGTATTCCTTGTTATGCTAATGCACAATTCCATATTACTAGAATTATATAATTTGCTTTAAACCGATTTTTTTCCGGATTATGAGCGAATTTTGAAAGATAAAAGTGACGATGGAAGAATTTAATTTATAATTTAATTTTAATTAATTCATAAGAATAGATATTTATTTATTATCAATTTTTTAAGCGGTTAAATTGAATTAAATTTATTATAATATGGAAAAAATGAAAAACGTTTCGAAAATAAATGCTACATTTTATTACAGGTTCCATACATGAAATCATTTTATGTAATTACGGGGAACGAAATTAAATCCTACTTATTAAAACGTATATGTTCGAAATTTTTGTACAATGTAATTATTATTTAATACTTTTTGAGTCAGAAACAAAATACTTTTAAGAGTTTCATATTTCAAGTTTCTTAATAAATCCGTATCCACTTATTTAAAAAAAAATTTTTTTTGATTTTTTTTCTTGCAATAGGTTTGAATTTATTAAACTAAACAACGTAAAATTTTCATGCCTAAAATATTGAAATCTATAAGAAGTAATTGTTAAAATAAGTTGTAAGAGTTTAATTATATTTAAATGTTATTTTAAGGTAAACTAATTAACAAATGATTAGATTAAAGTGCGAATAGTTAATTAAAGTAATAGTTAAGTAAAAAGTGCTATTTCCGAATATTACCGAGTAAAACGTAAAAAAACTTACAAGTACGAAGTAGAAGATTATTATTTTTCAAATTACTTACACTCTTAAGATTTAATTTTGTAAAAAAAAGAAAATATTTTTTTGCAAAATAATTAATTAAATACTAATACTGTTGTGAAATTAAAAAGAAAACCAAATAAATTCACTTGACGTTCCCCTAGAACTTTCCTTAAAATGTATTATCTAAAGAAATGGACAAAAAAGAGAAGAATAAAAATAACAACAGCAAAATACTGAATGCATAATGACCTAGCATTGTAGCCAAGCAATAATAAAAATAATGTGTTATAGATTCAGTAATCAAACTTAAATAGTTGAAAGTAAAATTTATGAAAATAAACTGTTGGAATATGCCGACTGAACTGTGTAGTGGTGAGAGAACTGGCCTTTTATCAGAAAGGTTCTGGGTTCTAATCCCGGGCAAGCCATGGATGTTCTTTCAGTCTCTTTGTACTATCCGTCTTTACTGTGCGAGCAACGTTGGTCCAAAAAAAGGGAAAGAAAAATATTCTGCATTTTAAAAGATATGAAGAACCACTGGGAGTGTGGATATTTTTTCTACTTTTTTCCCCACTTGTTTCATAATTAAAGGAGGAAAGAATGAGAAATTCTCAATTGCATAGTAAAAACATAAAATATTTGCTCCGAAGGATTTTTTCTTTAAAACGAATATGTTTCACATATTTATTTGAATATTCTTCATATAATAATCTATCAAGATTCTAGAAAGAAAAGTTCCTGGGGAATACAATGTGAAGCCAAAGAACGTCAAGTAATAAATATATTTAAATGTTTCTGGAATAAACTAGTACAATCAAACTATTACTATTTTTTATAGTATCAGTCATATTTATTTCTAACTTTCATTTAATGTTACGAAAGCATGGCATTTTCTTTTTGAACTAATTTCTTAAAAAAATTATTTATTTTTTAATGTCTCGAGGAGTTTTGTAAATATTTATTTCCTGCAGGAATAGCTCTAATGAGTACATTTCTGCTGGTAAAATAAGAATTTTAAATTCAGCAATCATATGAAAAAAGATAATGCATTTCATTAAATTGTAAAGTTTTTCTTACATTTTTCAGTACATTCTTGTGCGATAAGAAATTTACAAAGATTTTACGAATCATTTAATTTATAATAAATAGGATAGAGTTTAAGGCATTTGCTATTCATATAGATAAATAGATTCTCAAATGCTTAGAAAATTATTTTGAAGAAACTAATTAATTTGCTTTAAGAAAATTCAATGTTATCATCCCTCTTTATTAAACTAAGTTTTTTTTTTAATATTTTGCAAAATTTAAATAATTTTAAGTAAGCCAATGATTAACCAATGATAAACCAATGAAACAGTATATTTCTGATGTTATTAATGCAAGGAGAAAATAAAATTATCAAGTTTCTGGGTTTATGGGAACACCAAAAAGCCTAGTAATTTTTACCAAAGCTCTGTTAATGTTTTTCTTAAAATTAACAATAAAATATGGTTCAATAATATGTGATAAAATTTCTTAATTTTATTAACATACCTTAGAGCATGACATAAAAAACCATTTATTCTGTTAAAATTAATTTACTGTTCTGAATTTCTTACTAAATGCGTGGAAATAAGATCTGTAATTTTGAAAATCAAAATTTTCAGTAACTCGTTGCCATATGAATGAAAAAAACTACTAAATGAATGACTTAAAATTCGTATATTTCGATTTTATTAAGCAGAATTATGTTTTTATTTTATTTAAATCAGGATTATCATTAGCTTATTGCACGGTAATTTTTCCATTTTATTTTCTTCGTGCATGAATAGAAAAATATCTCTTCGTATTTTCCAAGCAATGCTGCTTTCAGAAAAGTATCAATCACAGTAAATGATTAAAAATTTCTAATATTTTCATTCAGTCAATTTATTCTTTCTGTGATAACTGATTTCATTATAAATATGCTAAATAAATTATTGATTATTTTCTTAAAATATGATTTTTGTTTCTTTTTTTAATATTCTTTTTTCCGGAAAACCAACTGTAGAATTTTTCAAAAACAATTACTTCCATTTTTTTCAGTTTTTTTTCTTTTGAAGTTGCTGTTTAATTATAACAACCTGAAGCATTTTTGTTTTTGTGGTGAAATGAACTGAAAAATTAGCTAAATTACAGCAAAGATCAAAGAATATAATTTGTATTCAATTTTGACATCAACAAAAAGAAGGTTTAAGTTAAAAAAATAATATAAAGAAGAGCAGAAAATTTCAAATATATCGTTCTTTAATGGACATCTCTGCGCT